TAGTGACATTGAGTCAGAGGAAAAACATGATAAAACAAAAAGAGAAATGCTTTTCTCTTTTTTCTTATGCTCTCCCCACATTACCCTCTCCTGTTCTGAATTTCCTGTTGGCTTCTCATGGCTTTTTTTTCTCTTTTTGTGATAGGGTCTTCCCGTAGCCCCAGCTGGCCTAGAACTGGCTACGTAGACCAGGCTGGCCACAATTTCACAGGGCTCCACCTGCCTCTGCCTCCCTAGTGTTGGGATTAAAGGTGTGCGCCACCACACCCAGCTCTCATTATTCACTTCCAATCTATGCTTTTCTAGCCTCATACTGTTCTTCATTTTCCTTTCCTTGCCTCCTTTCTTACATGCATTCTTTCCTGCTTCAATTTTTTACAACTTTCCCCTTTTTTGCTCATACCGTTTGATATATTCTTTAGGCAATATAATCCTTTTTTCTGATCTAGCACACAATAAATCTGAAGTTATTTGTATATAAAAAAGCTTCAGACAGTGCTTTTTATATTTGCTTGTTCATTTTACATAAGTAATTACTCTTTTTACCTTCATACCATAAATACTTTTATTTTATCCATCTCAGAATTGCTTTATTAATATTCGATGGCATTTCAAAGGAAATGGATTGTGATTTCATTTTTAAGTGACCTTTTGGTAGAAAACAGTTTGCTACAGACCGTGTTTCTGCTATATTGAGGGTGACAGGATAGGATTAATTTATATCTTAGCTATTCATGGGCTGAACTTCAGGCATTGGATTCATATAAACAACAAGCATAGTGCAAGCTCCCAAGGGAGACCATAAAAGAAGGCCATTGTCTGAAGGTGACAGAGCAAAAGTTCCTGAACAGAAAGTACTGTGCTAAAAATCAAGAAAAAAACCCAAAGGCCTGGGTCTTAGAAGAAAGTTATATCCAGAGTCTGACAGTGTCGCTAGGTCAAAAAACTTCTTTGAAAACTAAGAGACTCAGGATTGGCTATGAAGGAAAGGAAAGAACAGAAAGAAGGAAACAACTGACAGAAAAGACAGAATGACATGTTGATGGCAGTGATGGGAGTCAGACCAGGGAATAGCTTTGGTGCCTCTCAGGGGTCTGCAAGGGTATAGAAAGTAGCAGTGGGCCAGGAGGAGATGACGGCACTGTTCTGTCTTATGGAGGAGTCATTGGGATTTTATCAGTTTTAGATTATCAAGGTATTATAGAGTAGAAGATGCCTTACTTTAATGCAAGATCAACCAATAATCCCCATGGTAGTGTTTCTATGCCAGCATTACAGTTATTCCTGATTAGACTTAGCTTTAAGAGTGGACATGTGGACTTGAACTTGGGGAGGCACACATTCATCCAGATGTCTTCTGGAATTTTGCTGCACAGTCAGGTCACCCATACTTTTTTTCCAGATCATTTCTCCAGCATCAATTGCAGAACTACAAACTTGAATTCACCTTTTTCTTTTCTTTTCTTTTTTTCTTTTCTTTTCTTTTCTTTTCATTTGGTCTTTATGGAGTCTCCTTGTAGCCACAGGTGTCCTGGAACTCACTATGTAGACCAGGCTGTCCTTAATGTCACAGAGATCCACCTGCCTCTGGTATGCTGGGATTAAAGGCACATGCCACCATGCCCAGCTTGTCCACCCTTTTTTTCCCCAATCTTGCCTTTTGATCCCTAGGCCTAAAATCTGTATGAGACAGACACCAACACAAGCATTCTTCTCAATTTTCACAGCTTCCAGTGTGAGTAGGAATATGAATAAACACAGATCATCACTTTGATTTGCTATTTCAACCACATCCACATTCATTCACATCTAGAGTGAAGGATAAAGTAGGGCTCCAAAAGATCAAGGTCAGGTCACCAGGTCGCAAGAGTACATGGCTTGGTGAGCTTGTTTGCACAATAAATAGTAGCTTTTTGGTTGCAAGATTAAGTAAAAGTCAGTCAAGATTTTGTCCATTTGTTAAAGGCATTCCTACATTCATTTTGATAGTATCACACAGTGCTATGATATTCAGGTTGTGTCATACTAGAGCAAGGTCAGTGAGTGCTTTGGTTATGAAGTGCATACTTATCTGATGAAAGGTTGTTTGCAGGCACATGACACCTAGCTGACCCTGGAGGGAGTGTATACTATGACTTGTGAGTTGCGCTTCCAGAGTTGCCTGTGCTTTAAAGACATTACTCAAAAGTAACAAACAGGAATGATGAAGAAGGGCCTACCTGAATCCATCAAATCCAAATGAATGTGTTCTGCTATGAACAATTTTAAAACAATGATAAAACTGGTCTGCTTGAAGACAAGCTTACTCAGGCCACTAATGAGTGCTATGCTCTTCACTTTAGTGAAAATGTCCTTAAAAACAGGTATTATTGAACTGAATTACCTAAGAATTTATAAGAGAAAATACTAAGAAAATATTGGGAAATATTGTGTGCTATGGTCATATGTGTAAAAACCTTCTATGATCAAGTGGAATCCCCTTAGTGAGGTGCCTAGGGAAGGAGATTTTATGTGAAAGCTCACCTCATTTCCCCATGTCACCCCTTTGAACTCCTCAAACCTAAGAATATTTTTAAAGAAAGAAAATTCTGTTGAACAATTGAGCTATTTTTGCAGAACTTATTATATATCTACTATGTGGCAGCCTGGTTCTTAATAATTCTCATAGATTACTTCTAATCTTTAACAATGGAATACTATTAAGCCCCACAAAAGAAAGGAATCCTATTACTTGCAGCATTGTGGATTGAACTAGAGATGATTGTATTAATTGAAATAAATCAGGCCACAAAAAGGTACTGTATTAGTTACTTTTCTGTCATTGTGATAAAGCATGGCCAAGGCAATTTATAGAAGAAAGAGTTATTTGACTTACAATTCCAGAGGTATAAGAGTCCATCATGGTGGGAAGACATGGTGGCGGAGGTGGCCAGAGCAGAAAGCTGAGCACTCATATCTTTAAGCATGCACAGGAAACAGAGGGGTGACTGGAAGTGGGGCAAGGCTATGAACTCTCAACACCTGCCTTAGTAATGTGCTTCCCCCCACAAAGCTGTACCTTCTAAAATTTCTAAAATGGTGCCATCAATTAGGGAAAAATTATTAAAATGCTTGGAGCCTATAGGGGACCTTTCTCATGCAAACCATCATATCCAGGCCCCCATAGGCTCATAACCACATTGTAATGTAAAATGCATTTAATCCAACTTCAAAAGTCCCCATGGCCTTTAACAGTTTCAATACTATTCAAAAGTCCCAAGTTCAAACTCTCTTCTGAGACTCAAGGAAATATCTTAACTGTAAGACCATGTAAAATCAAAAAGCAAATTGCATACTTTCGACATGCAATGACACCTTGTTGCTGTGATAAAACACCATGACCAAGGCAACTTATTGAAGGAAGAATTTTTGACTTATGTTTACAGAGGAATAAGGATCAATCAGGACAGGGAGGCATGGTGGCAGAGGAGTAGGGAGCAGAACGTTGAACATTCACATTTTCAAGCATGCACAGGACACAGAGGGATGGCTGGCAGTGGGCAAGGCTATGAACTCTCAACACCTATCCCCAGTGGTGTGCTTCCTCCAGCAAGACTGTACCTTCTAAACGTCCCTAAACAACGCCACCAACTGGGACAAAGTGTTCAAACACTTGGAGCCTATGTGGGGGGCATTTCTCATTCAAACTATCACAACCACATAAGCTCATTAAGAAAATTAATCTCATAAAAACTAAGCATAAAATGGTAGTTACAAAATACTGGAGAAAGAAAGGAGCACGGAGGATGAAGAAATATTGGTAAATGGTACTAAGTTAGTTAGAAGTCAAGAAATTTGAATATTGTGCTACACAGTGGGCTAACTATAGATAACAAAAACAACTGTACATTTCAAAACCTTAGAATAGTTTTGAAATTTCTACCATAAAGAAATAAATGCTTGAGGATGCAGACATATTTACCCTGAAATAAACATTTGTTACACAATGTATACATGATTCAAAGCAATACATTTCACCACATTTATATGCATAATTTTATTTCTTTTATATTTACATATTTTTATTTTATGCATATGCATGTGTACCTGAGTGTATGTATGTGTGCCATATGCAGGTACCTGCAAAGGCTAGATGAGGGTATCTGATCTTCTGGAGCTGGAGTTATAGATGATTGTGAACTGCTTGATGTAGTTACTGGGAACAGAACCTGGGTCCTCTGCAAGAGCAACAAATGTACTTAACGGTTGAGCAATCCTTTCAACCCCCACTTTTCTCTTTATATCTACCAATTAAACCTAATAAAATAATTGAATAGCCTTCCCTAATATTTTACAATTATCTCTGTTATAGAGATGGGAAGTCAGAAGCTCAAAAATGTTAAGCAGCTCAGTGAAGATAAAACAACTAGTGAAGGGCAGAGAACTGAGATTCCAGCACACCTCAGGTCTAATTTTCCTCTGAGATATTGCCATCTTTTCATTGGACACAAACTGGACCATGGAGACCCCTCTTAACCATGAAACAATAATCTAACTATATTTAATAGGGTTATTTTTAAAGATACAGATGATTTTAGTAAACTGCCCATTGGTTTATATGTAAAAAATTTTGTCTATATTAAAAATTATATTGTACCTCAGTTAGACAAAAAGTGCTTTTATTGTAGGTTGGATGAGTAACTAAAGTTTTAAGATATAGTTTCACACAATATTCTGAAGGTTTGTTTTTAGATTAAGGTTGTTTATAAATTATATTTTTGTGTTTTGTTTAATTTTATTTCAAATGATCTACTTTTTTCAAAATTTTGTTTATCATGAACTTTTCATTTGTCTTTGTGGAATCTTAATGTCTACTGCTAAGCTTAAGCATTTCACTTAAAACACACTTATGTAAATACGTTCATGACATTTGGTGCTCATCTTCAATTATAGTATTTTGATTGAATACATCATATTGCATTATGATAGTTACTATTTTATTTTAATATTTTAAAATTCAGGTCCCAAGTCATTTGCAAAGGCGTTTTCTAGTGGCTATCTCATTGGAGAAGTTTTGTACAAGTTTGAACTTCAGGGCGATTTTTCAGAATTTTCAGAGAGCAGGTTAGTAAAATTATTCCATACTTTAAAAAATTAGTATCTTTGGCATTTGGACCTTTGTTGTCTCAAGAGTTCAAAGGAGAGAAATTTCTATGGTTGTAGCAAGACTTTTCCTCTATAAAAGTCAGATAAGAATTATGCAATTTCAGAGTCTTTTAGCTAGGTCCACTGAAGGGGTACTCCAATTGCCTCACCCTGTGTCCCTGATCAGCCTGGAAGAAGCCAGAGCATTCTGCGTCCTGATTCCCTAACCGCAAGTTGGGTAACCTCTTCAGAGGATAAGAATAAGGAGGTAGGAATTGGCTAGGCAGTTAGGAAACAAAACCAAAAACAAACAAAAGTAGCCAGTTTCTTGGTTAAAACTCACAATGTCCTTGGACCTATTAGCAACATACTCTGTTCCAAAGCCAAAAATGTCAAAAATATTTGGGAACTTTTATCTAATCCTTAAAATATTTTATGGTTACCTCTTCAGATGGGGGAATATTGGAGTAGCCAAAAGCCCCATAAAAATAAATAAAAGAAGAAGAATACGTGAAAGAAGAAGAAAATAAAAGTGGATCTTATCAGAAAAGAAATATTCTCAAGATATGTGAACCAATATTTTAGGACCAGCTTCTCTTTTCCAACAGAATCTTTACAGAATTGTAGATAAGACTACAAGTCCTAGATCTACTTTGCCATTATTATCTTTCAGAGTGATTGTATAATGGATTAATACATGTAAATAATTCTGTGTAGAGCTTGTTCCATAATATATGTTAAAATATCTGCTTTTACCAAGAAAAAAAAATCTAAGAAGTCAGTGAATGAAATGGCATGAAACTTTTAAGGAAGCGCTGATGTTAAGTGTTTCAAACTTTTAAGTGTTCAACTTTTGAGTATCTCGACTATAAATTTTGAGTATGCACCACAAACAAAAACAAAAAAGAAAGAAAAAGAAAAAAAGAAATTACTCCTAAGTAACAGGATTCTGAAAGTCAGGGCTGTTCTGCCTTGAGCTTCCCTCAGTATCCACATTTAGAGCACAGAAGGGATTATTCCCTGAAAACCAGGGTCTCAGAACTATCCTCCTAAAAATACAAGATGAGCTACTTGGAATAAAGAACCTTAGTTGCCACCATGAAAAAAAAAGTCACATGTTAATATCTTTTAGACATCTGAAATATTAAGCCAGATTTCTCTCTTTTAATTAATGCTTCCTCTTTTTCCATTTTTTATTGAATTTTTGAGATTTTTATATATCATTTGATGATATTTAGATCCCCTTCCCTATCTGAACCTCCCTTTATTGTCCTTGATGTACTCTATTATATATGCATATATATTCTATGGTAGGGTCTCCAAATATCCTTCAGTGTGAATCCATTCACTGGAATCAGGCTAACCTACCAAGTGTCCATGATTGAAAGAGACTGTCTCTGCTGCTCTCAGCAGCCATCTGTTGCCACAGTTTCTTTAGGTTGGGTTGGAATTTCTTACCCACTGTTTCACGTCTGCTTTGGAATATGTTTAAGTTATATGCAAATACTATTGCCATTTTATTAGCAGACTTTGACAGAAGTTTCTGGAACCAATGCTCTGTGGATATTGAGGGGCCCCTGCTTTAAACTGGTTCTTATGAATATTGTCATAGACAGTCTTTGGGTAGGATAGGAGGGGTCCCATCTGGATGGATACAACTATAAAGATTCAGAAATGGTGAACAGCAAAATGTCCTATAAAGGAAATGGAAGACTTTTGGAATCTGAAGCAGTCTTGTGCCAGGGACAGAGTGGATTTTGAAAGCTTTCAAACATGTAAGGATGAGTAAATTCATAGGTATAACCTTATCAAGGTAGTTGATGGGAAAAGTTTGCTTTTCTTAAAGCCTGCTTTTTAGACAATTCTCTGGTGACAGAGTTCATGAGGTGGATATTTTGCTCAATACTTTTAATATCTTTATTCTTAAATGAAAATTATAAATTATATGTTGCTAATAACTTTAAGTTACATGTGTTTGAAATGATTCAATTTTATTAATAACTCATCTGACTCTGAAAGAATTCTCTGCTTCGGAATACTGTTAGTTCTTACCAAAGCAGAGTAGTTAAAAGAAAACAAGTGAATAAAGAAAATTTTCTTTGGGAGCTCAGCTCTTATGCTGCAAGAAGGTGTGTTGTGTTAACTGTGGCAAGCAGGAAAGAGGAAGGAAGTCCCTTAGCAAATGAAGGCTGCAAGTAGAGGAGGGCCAGGAGCCTTTTCCCACTGCACGTTTTTACTCCCTCAGAGGTCATCATTTACCTCATACGCTCGGTTTCCAGAGCAGAGAGGTCCCAGCTGTTTTTCTGTGTTTCAAAACAACTACTGATTATCCTGCCATGCTGAGTGTGCACGTGCCTTAACAATCACAGATTTTTACACACAAGTTCTGTTCCTCAAAGTTTGATTGTTTAGAAATTTATCATATTCCTAAAACCTTCCAGAATGAAGTATTGTTATACCTCAGATACATTGGCTAGTTCATAAAAATTATATTAAAATCAAATAGGGACCAAACTCTAATATTAACTTGCAAATTCTGTATTCAGGAGGCTAGGTAATACATGTGACAGAAGGGGTCAGTTCTTTTCAACGTAGGTCTAAGCTTTGATAAAACTTGTAAATGACTCATAACTGCTTTTATAAAAATCTCCCTTCTGAATTATGATGTCTCTAAGTGTCTTTAACCTTTGCAGCCCAACATGTGACACAGACCAAGCAAAGCTTGGGCAGATGACTCTCAGTCCTATCTTTCTCAATATATTAGTGAGTAAGGTATATGGGACTATAAGCATACTTTTATCAGAAGCAATTACATATACAGTATCCCTTTCTTCTGCAGAATCATGGTTGGTGGGGAGTAGGTAGAGCTTGTATATTCAAGATGAGTCAGTATAATATTTTGTATTAAATAATGAAGTTGACTGTTGGAAGCTAAGGTAAGAAGAAATCATATCAAAGGCTAACATTGATGTTTGTACCTGGTTTGTTAATAGAGAATTGCAACAGTTGAAACCATATTCAATATGTTTGGTCTTCCATCTGTCATCAGGCTCGGTGGCTCATTTACAGCAGTATATCAGTTGAGATTTATAAGCAACATCTCAATGATTTTTGCTTCTTTACTCATCTGTCTTTTGTAAATATTTTATTATTTTTATTTTATGTGTATGCATGTATTGCCTGCATATAGGTAAGTGCATCCATGTCATGTAATGTCTGGGGAAGACAGAAGAGGAAGAAGTCAGAGCCCCTGGAACTGGTTACAGACAGTTGTTAGCTGCCATGTGGGTGCTGGGATTCAAACCCAGGTCTTCTGCAAGAACAGCCAGTGTTCTTAACCACTGAGCCATCTCTCCAGCCCCTCATCTCTCTTTCTTATTAAATATGAACACATAAAAAATGACCATATCTTGTTCATTTTTTAATACTTCAAAATTTTTTTGGAATTTATTAAATATAATAAGTATATAAATCCTTAATACATGTGGGTATTTAACAAAATGTTAATTGAGGTAGTAAACATAAATTCATTAATTTATTTAAAATATGAAGGTAGTTTGATAGTAAATCATTAAAATAGATTTTTATTTATAGACCTTTCATTTCAAAGAAATACTA